ATCTTTTCTATAAGAAACAGCTTTCTCCTTAGTGACCCCTACCTCACAGCCCATGCTGTGCTCAGCAATCATACCATAGCACTTCTGGAGCTTTCTGGTCAGATGATCTTACTTTTAGTGCCCCACGGCCCTTTGTAGTTCCTTTCCGATTTGACTTCATTTTCTACCAGTCCTTGTGCACTGCATCTCTTCTGCTTCCTGCTCTTGAGGGCATTATGATGGCACGAACTTTGCTTAGTTTTGAATCCTAGTGTAATGTAGGACATCGGTGAACCTTGTAGTGCTTTCAGTGAAAACAAACAGCCCACTGTGACACACCTGCCGTAGGTTCATCCCCACTGCTCGGGTACCATACCTGGCATATAGAAAACTTCAGCCAATTTTTACAAAGTGATAAAAGCATCATATGTACATAGGTTATAATCATCATAAAGGTCCACATAGCCAGCACCTGGTCACCTCTCGTGGGCCAGTGTCCTGTGGCAGAAGGTAAGGAAGCCCCTCCACACCTTCCTTTGCCCTCCCAGACAAACGCAAGTGCCGACAGGGGCAGACCTCTCCTTTTGGCAGGGGTAAACCTGTGATCAGCATCCCCTTTGCCACATCTCTGACAGGTTTCCGATCACTGTTTATTTATGAGCTCTAAGACCCCGCCCCTCCTCTCTGGCATCCTCTGTCTTTTCCATGCTCATTTACAGAACTCTCTCATTCGCAGGGCTTTGGTCCCTGTGCCATGGGCGTAACACCCATGCACACCTCTTTGAGAGATTAAAACGAAGATGTGCATCAACCTGCTCAGCCAAGCTCACCTTTGTACACTTGAGAGCAGGACCCTCCCTAGAGGGAGCAGGGAAGATGGTGGTAATTGGAGGGCTTTGGTTTCCCGTTTCCTTTCTGCCGGGGAACTGTGGGAACTTAGGCAATTAGTGCAACTCCGGCCTGTATTTCTTCACTTACTACATGATAAGAATTCAGGATATGAACTGTAGATCTCCAATCCTTTATCTGCAATTTCAAATTCCAGAAATCTCTCAAAACAGAATCCTTTTTAATAACTCATTTGATGTTAAATTTCGACCTGATCTGAACTTGGTTGGCTGCCAAACCTCCCTTGAACCAATGTGAGGGGCTATTTACAGTCTTTATTTAATCTCCTTAATGAGGAAACACATACTTTTGCCTGAAGAAATACAAATGTGTTTGACTACAGGATGTTACCCTAGAGGACGATAGGGGTGATTTTAACTTATGATGCGTGCGCAGCCCTGACTTTCAAAAGTCTGGACGGTTCTGAGTTGAGGAGGCGTCTAACTGCAAGCGTTTCAGACAAAGAGCTGGGAAACGGTTTGTACTTGTTAGGCTTCTTGGTGAGAAATTAAATGAAATAGCAAACATAAAGTATTGTTCTCTTCCTTTCCCTCTACCCTACGTCAATCGCTATAAATTCCAGAAAATTACTACTCAAAATGCAAAATACATTAATTTGGTGCGAAGCAGAAAGTCATTCAGATTTCTCTGCTTCCTCCCTCTCCTCCCCTCTGACAGCCTCTCTCCACTTTCCCGATGTTTCTTAGACCTCAGTCTGGCCATCGTACAACTTTTTTCCTTTGTTTACAACTGAGTTATAAAATTTTAAGTACTTTAAAACTATCTCCAAACCCCAAGGAAAGACTAATCATGTGATCCAAGAAGCAGCTCGTCATGCTGGGACTTCAGATGCTCATAGTTATTTCCTCAGCACATGACCTTGGGTTGGTCACATCCTCTCAGAGTGCCAGTTACCTCACCATCAAAATTGAGATCATGTCTGACAGCTCACCAATGCAGTTGGCTGGATGAGGTCATCTCTTGAGGTCACTTCCAGCTCTAAAATTTGAAGTTTCAGGGTCCTCAAAAGACCAATGGCCTTCCCAGAATCTGTGGATCACAGTGTCTGGCCTACCACCCACTTTGCTCTTCATAATAGGCCTGCTGTGGCCATGTTGAGTAAGGAGAAGACCCCAACTCTGTGCAGGGAGAGGGTGTGAGGCAGACGAAGGAACAATGAGGAGGAAAAGGCGGAGTGAACTGAGGAAGATGTGGGCCAGTTAAGTGTCACTGAACCACAGAGTATGTAAGCATCAAGGATTTACAGCCCAAGACAAAGTCTCACATGCGTAGGCACAAGAAGTGCATCTCGGGTTTTCCAAGGGGAAGGAAGGTACAGAGGCTCTCAATAGCTGCTTAGGTGGTGCTTAGGCTTTCAGGCTGAATGGAGCCCTCTTGAGCTCAGAAACAGAGCTACCCTTTCATACTGTGTGACCATAAGCAAGTCATGGAACCATCCAACCCTCAATTTCCACAGGTGGAAAACGCCGCATACACCCTCTCTCCTGGGCTTGTTAGAAGGACTCAGTGAGTGGGTGAATGGAAAGCGTGGCATCTAGGGCCAGTGCTATTGGGTGTTCATAAAGACGAGATTCCTAGTCCTGATAAAGCTCTGAGGAATTCTAAGGAAAAGTAGAGAATGCTTTTTCTTTGGGTAAGAAGAAAGCAAAGTGTTACAAGGAGGAGAAAATGCCTGGGACTCAGTTTTTACCCCTTTGGAAAGAAGTGACAGAATCACTTTCCCTTTGCTGGCCAAAATGAGGTCATTGCTGGAAGCTGGAACTTTTTTGGAATAACTCTTCCTCCAGATTTATAGTGGCTACAGAGTGGCATAGAAGAGTAGACAGATCTTGGAAGGGCCTCGGAGTTTTTTCACAGAAATTCCCGTTGAATAGTCACTGTGTGAATGTCTGCTTTCAGATATAATTTTCTGCATATTTGCTCTGCACAGCCCTTATTTGGGAGTGGTAGCATAATAAAACAATGAAAATAGGAGGTATTACAGAAGGAGCTCTGACATTAGAGTTAGGCTTCTATGTTAGCTGCGGCCAATTGGGGAATGTTAAAACAACTGAATAGTGAGGGGGAAAAAAACTTTAAAAATTAGCAAATAATATTGAAGGATATAGGAAATGATTGAAAAAATAGTTACACCAGTGCTGTTGCTTGGCCCTCAGTGTTATTCTTCCACATGACCTTTGCTCTTAGTTCCCAGCCTTGAAATGCTTTTCCTTTGAATCTTTCCCAGAGTTCTTGTTGTGGTTTGTGTCTCGATGTCCGCTGAAAGCCTCATGTGTCATAAGTGGGGCTTTTTCAGAGGTGGCTGGATCTACAGTGTGTGATTGATTCGTGATACAATGCTAGGATCAAGGGCACTAGGATTAAAGGTGTGAGTGCTACCTGCCCTAAGTAGTCTGCATAAAATATGAGCAATAGAAAGAATTGTGGTCACCCCTTGCTTGCTTTTCTGCCTTCTGCCCACCACAAACTGTTTCTCCTCTGCAATGCCTATCTGCTGTGTCACTCTGCCTTGGAGCCAGCTGATTATGGACTGAAATCTCTACAAACTGTGAATTGAATAAACCTTTCCTCCTTTAACTTTGAGCGATAGGTGTTTTGTCTCATCAATAAGAGAAAAGTAACTAACACAGTTCTTTTCCTACGTTCACTTAGCTATGCGCTGGCCTCTGGCATCTGGGAGCCTATCGTTGGCTGCTCCTCTCATGGACTGCATACATTCATCTTAATTTTTCTCTATTTTTTTCTATTAATTTGTATTTCTTCCCAGCCATTTTCACTACATGGCATTATAACCAATGCCTATTGCTTATTTTCTTGCTGCTATCATCCCCACTGGGGAAAAGAGTACAAGTATAGGAGGGCTGCAAATCACCAGGCTTCTAGAATCTGGCCTGGCATATACCAGGCCCCCAAGAAGAAATGATTGGGCAGGTATGTGAATAAAGAAGTAAAAGAATGATAGTATGCATGTATGCATACATGAATGAATGAATGAATGAATGAATGAATGAATGAATGAACTCACTAAGAAAAAGACAGTCTGAGAAATCTACAAAACTATTTATACAGGTGATACAGAGAAGAAAAATGCATGTGGCCAATAAGCAAATGCAAAAAAAAAAAAAAAAAACCTCAGCTGTACTAGTAACCTAGAAAACCTGATTAAAACAAGATGATATTATTTAACTCCCATTAGGTTTGAAAAAATTGAAAGATAATCAATTGAAATTTAGGGAAAAATTATAAATATAGCCAGACTTGTACACACTACTGGTGGGAAGGTAGCTTAACAGTTAAAGTGGAAGCACCTAAGAAATTGATGATGCCCCGTACCTGTAAGCTGACACTGTCACATCTAGAGAAACCACTGCGCTTATGGCCACGAGCTCCCTGTGTAGCAGTGTGCATTATTAATACTGCACAGTTGGCACCACCCAAATGCCCACTGATAGGAACAAGAATAAATTAACTGGGCCATCAAGTGATTCAGTATTATTAAGTGATAAAAATGATTTAATGTTGAAAGTTTGCCATGGAATATGGTATCTTTATAAATGAAAATCTGTAAAGCAATTCTATATATTATTTGTAAATAAAAGAAGTTCCTAACCCATATTACATTAACGACATTGGTTTCCCTAGGGGGGAAATATATTCAGACTGGGAATGAAAACATAAAGTTCTTTAACTGTAATTTTATATTTCTTTCATGACTATGTCTCTTATGAACATGTTCATTCAGGTGATGAAAATATAAGTGTTTAAGTGTCTTCTGTACTTTTTGTATTTTTTGTCTACTGAAATTTAAAAATATCACAGAAGTTGCTTCCTCTTAAGAATTAGGGTATCTACCTCATCTATGTAGGGTTATTGCAGATACTAAATGAGACAGCTGCCATAAAAGTGCTTTTTAAACTACTATAGAGCAACGAATTACCCTCATTATTAATGTTATCCTTATAGCCACCTTCCATTCTGCCCTAATGAGTGCTAGGTCTGTAATCTGCTCCCGTGAACTCCAGAGACCTTCCTAGAGCTCCAAGGCATCTACACAGCCTCCAGGGCAGGGCTTGGAGACAGGAGCAGACAGCATTTCAAGCCTCTGAGCCCACTTCTGCATGAAAGTCTTTACCTTTTATCAGCTTTGACTTCACACCTTCAAATAAGGGTTCCTGTAAAGAAAATTTACACAGCTCAATGATAAGTGTGTACCTTTTCAATCATCATATGAAGAAGTTACAAGAGTTATATTACTTAGTTTTTCCAAAACCTGATTCAATCGTGTTCTGACTCCACCTGGCTACAAGAAAGCCCCCGTCTATTGTTACGGCATCTCCCTTTCTGCCTGGCCCTTTGTCCCCTCAGATCATGCAGAAGTCTGCAGTACTTTGGACAGTAGGACGTCTCTAGACCGCCCTCTGCCCACTGTGCCCATGGTCACTACTAATACACTCTTCATACAGTTGACAGGCACAGAGCACACTTGGACAGCTCTGCAACAGTGCCTGGCTTACCCAGCAAGAAGGCTGCACAGCACTTCCCAGGGGAGCACCTGATCCCACCCCAAGGGACCTGGTAGTGACCAAGAAGAGGTCCCCAGTGCTTAAGCACTCCCAGGCACATTTCCATTCTAGTGTCCCTGCCACCCCCTATGCATCCCAGAACTCACTACTCCAAGCTTCAAGCGCATGTGAGAACTAGTTACCATCTTGGAAGGAAAGACAGAAAATATACACACACAATACTTTAATGAAAGATCTTCCTGTGGATCCTGTTATAAAGACTTGCAAAGCGCTGATCCACAGCCATATCTCTTTGTCCCTTGATTTGTTTTTACCGTGAGGCCTCATTTTTAAATACCAAACAACCTAGTGTTTTGTGGCCGCTGCCCAGTCTGACGCCGTCATCCCATACCTTCCACATCTCATCCTCAGCCGCTCAGTAAGTCTCTGGTGTCGCTGGACTGAGGGAAGGCACAGACCTCTTTGCTCTGGAAGCCCCTGTGCTGGCTTTACCTGCCTGTCCCCCACTCTCCTCAGATGGCCCACTGGGCCATCAACTCCAGAAGCCAACCTTTGATGTCACCTTTAAGTGAGGTGGTCCTCATAGTGGGGTGCACTGGTGGTGCCGAAAGAAGTAGCTCCACCTCCAACTTCCATGGGGACCCCTTACCAGATCACACTGCTGACACTGAACTCTGGAATAATATATTTACGATAAATCCTATAATTACCTTGTGAATGGTACAATTATATAGGATTTTGTGTGTGTGTGTGTGTGTGTTAAGTATGCTTTGTTTAAATATAAATATTTAAACGTGCCACAATTTGCCTTTTCTTTAGTTTTTAATATGTCTTAGATTGGAAGGAAGAAAAGTTGCCACTTAACTCGAGATTTTCCCCAAGTCTCTGCATCAGAGGAGATCGGAAATCTTAACTTGGTTATCTCATCCATTCTGTCTCCACTGGTCAGCCCAGCGCCTCACCCCGGTGGCAGCTGCCCTGGCCTCTCTGGGCCATGAGATCTTCCCTTCTCTCCCGGAGGCACGCTTGGCTCAGTTCTGGTTCCAAGAGTCTGTCCTTGGATGCAAACAAATCTGGGTGCTTTTACAGCCCTTTCCAGGCTGTGCTGGCCCAAATGATGAAGTTGAGGCCAAAAGACACAGCAAGCTCCAACCTAGTGATTTACCCGATTAGAAGAGGCCAGGGCAGTCGTGGTGATGGAGTAGCCTGATGCTTCGAGAAAGGCTCAATATGTTTCAGCTGATCTGAAAAGAGTCGCCAAGGTGTAGACGTTTTTGTGCTCTGCTAAATATACATCTAAGGCTGGGGAATTGTAAGGTCTTAAAAGCAGATCCAGAGGCTGACATAAATTTTTAGACTGTGTACAATCCAGAATGGTTCAAAGCAAAACACTGGATCCGAGCTCCCCCTCTCCCCTCCCTTCCTGCCTGCCTGCAGACTGAGGCTCCAGCTTTATCTTGCACAGTCACTGGACTGTTTTCTTTTTAATTGACAAGGTCATAAGTGCATGTCTGATGGAGGCTCACTCTTCGTGCTACTTGTTTGATATATCATTTAGGCCACTATTGAGAGCAGCATAGCGGAGCTTACTCTGCAACTGGGTAGGAACAAGTTCTGAGCCCAATTTGGAAGAAAGCATTTGAAAATAAAACAAAGGATATTTTCAGAGGCTGATGTTTTTGGAATTTATTCAAGTGGCCACCATGGCCATTGGCCACGAGTGTTCCAATTACAGCTGCTCTGCTATCTTACCAGACAGTGCTTGAGTTCAGAGCAGTACATGAAGTCAAAGGGTAAGTCTTTCGGTTCTGCAGTGAATTTGATTAGTCATTTATAATCACAGAGTGATTTAAAAACATCCCGGGACCATCACCCATCTCTAATCTGGGTTTCAGAAAGCTAAGTGTCTGGTGGTCCAGAACTACTTCATGGCTGGGATGGTTTCCTGAAAAAGCATTGCAGAACATGTTTTGTTAAATATTTTTACTGAACGGCTGTGGTTTAGGTATATTTAGAGTTCCACGGGCCTCAATGGGTAACGAGCTCAGGAATTGCAAATATCAAAATTCTGTAAGATTATTGTTTGCTAAGGAATAGAAAATTTCCCACATGTTGGTTAAATAATGAAAATACAGGGTCTCAAAGTTGGACATCAGATATTGTAGTAATGCATCACGTGTCTGTGTTCCTGTGTGTGTGTGTACATTGTGTACATCTTTTAGTTCATCATTACCTAGAACTAAAAAAAAGATGATTTGCTTTTGTAGCAAAAAGTCCTTGAAAAACAAACCTATTATTTTCTGGTTGGAGATCACTTTCCTGTCAGGTGCTTAGTTTAATGTATTACAGAATCAGAAGCCAAATTACACATTGTCATAGGTTTAGATCAACCTCACTTTTAACACTAGGTGAGGCTGAAAATTTTAACTTAAGAAACACAGCCGTGATCACCAGGAAGTGTGTATTTCTGAACGTAAAGGCCATTGGGTTAGGATAATCATCTCAGCATTAGGTATCATCTCCCGGAAACAGCTACGTTCAAAAGCTTTCTGAAATGCGTCAGTAAGAGTGGCTGCTGCCCTCTGACCTATGCTATATTGAATGGGGTTTGTAAATCACTGGAATTTTAAAAAAATATATATTGACTACTTTTATAAACAAATTATTTGTGTATTGCTATGTTTTTTAAATCTGTGGTACAGCACACATACAGAAAAGTGCCCAAGTCCTTTGTATTTTACTAATTGTTTTATTTGGATTGTTCATGGTTTGAAACGGAAGATTTGATTTCAATGGGAAGCTTCTGCACTCTGGGTAGAAGCTGTGACAGACCTCAGGTCTTCCTTTAGAGGTAACTTAGCCAGCACCTGTCCTAAGGCTCCCTAGGACCAACCACCTGCTTTGCTGAATGGGTGGAGGTCAACCTTCTGGACTAAGCCTTTGTCTAGGGACATATGAAGGATCAAATCACATACTTTCATGTCCACACATACACACACATGCACAAATGCACACACACACAGATTTTTTTAACACAAGGAAAACACAAAACAGAACTTATCTGTTGCCTTTCTAGGAAGTCTTAACACACACAAAGTCCTGAAATCACTAATTTAAAAATATAATGTTTATCCAAGTTAAAAAATAATCACTGCTCAGTGTACACTTTCTGAAGCTTTGCTGTATATCCTGCTAGTTTGTTGTTGTTGTTGTTTTTTCCGGTACTGGGAATTGAACTCACGACCTTGCCCTTGCCAGGCAGGCGCTGTGCCGCTGAGCTAAATCTCCAGCCCCCCATCCTGCTAGGTTTTAAGGGAAAGCAGCAGCACCTCGGTCTTAATGGAATCACATCCTAAAAGTAAACTCACCAGAGCATTTTGAAAACAGTACAAAGTATTAAGTATTAATATCTTTTCATTCTTGATGCTTGAAAAAATTAAAGTCTTCTGTTTAAAAATCCACTTAATCCCTGGACCAAGAAATGTTCTATTTGCCTGGTGGTTTGACTGTGTGATCAGAAGAAATCCAAGTGTAGAGAACACAGGACACCAGAAAGTCAGGAAGGAAAAACCAGCGGAAGCAAATTTGTAAGTCACATTGAAGAAAAAAATTGCAGCATGGTAGCGTAACAAAAAGTCAACAGCTAAACTTCACAAAATACTACACTGAAAATGAAATAATACCCTTTCACAATAGTTTTAAAACACAGGCCACAAAATAGGTATTCCATAAAGCAAAGCTTGCAAATAAAGCTAAAACACGGAAAAGAAATTTTGTTAAACAGGCAAGATGTGATCGCAGAACGCCTGGTAAAGAAGTTATTCAAACACTCCAAAACATAGGAATTATTTTAACTAGAAAAGCTTTTTTAAATTAAGCAGTTACTGTTTTATAAGCACTGTGAGGTGACCCTTACATCAACTAGTGAAGTTCTGTCACTTTTCCTTTGGGATAGCTTATAAAACCACCCTATCTTGTCATGCTTTTGCAACCACTCTACCCCAGATGCCTTTCTAAATCCCACTCACATGATGGTGACCATTGCTTCTCTGAGTCCCTCACAGCTAAGATGGCACCAGATCTTCTGAAACTGCCAGTTGAAAGTATGTTCTTTACTGCCCATTGAATTGGCTCCTTACACCCAGGTTCAATGAAACTAGCCTGGCTGTAAACTTCCTCAGGGATTCTCCCACCGATCTGAGTGTATTCCCCACCCCTCACAACGAGGAACCCTCCGTCTCACAGTGCAGACATCAGAATGACATCTGAGTCACTCTGTCCACTTCCTGTGCCGTGATTTCACCGCCCCTCTCGTCACCGATGCCATCTGTTCCCCAGTGTCTGCCCAGATCTCCTACCGTGACAGAGTCAGTCTGCACTGGGTTCTTCTTCAGTTTCTTTCTTCTGGGTTCTGTAATTTTCATTATAGTAGTCTCTCACCTCCTTAGATGAATTGATGTTTTTTGAAGCTGGTGTCAATGGAATTGTTTTCCTGATTTCTCAATTAGTTCTTTAGTGATATTTAGAAAAGCTATGGAATTTTTTAATGTCCATTTTGTATCTCAAGAGCAGTTATGTTTTGAGAGCAAAACATTCTTATGCAAAGACATAAAATTATTTTGTCATAATTTTAACCCTCTAATTATTTG